GTCCTATCCTGCTCGGATATTATAAGAACTTTATCTATATCTCCTTTATTGATTCCTTTCACCCACCTAAATACTTCTATCATATCTCCCCGCACTCTTCGTTTCTAAGTCCCGGAATCATTTACGTTGTGGTTGTTGTTCTTTTAAGTTGAATTGAAATTGAATTGAATTGTAACAGTTTATTTAGCCAGAAAAACACAGATACATAGTGGATAATAATAACAATATTAACATGGCTGAGCCAGTTGAGAACCTGAGCTCTCTTTGAGGCACCTGATATATACTATACATTTATCTCAAGGAAGTATTATGTAATATTTAGTAACATCTGGAATAGTACAATAGCATGGTGGTAATAAGAACATCTGAGAATGTTACCACGGTTATCACTTCAATATTTATTTATTTTGTTTATTTATTATTTTTTTTCGAACAGTTTACTTCGGCAGAAAATGCAACAACAACAACAACAACCTGATGGAGTACATCTATTTAAAAAAAATTATGAAACATTTTGTAACTTAATTTGTTTTCATTGTATTTATGTTTTTGATATATGTTGTGTTAGTTTGTATGACGTATTGAAATGGTAACTAATTGTGGTAGAGCGAGGGAGGGAGGGAAGGGGAGGGTGGAGGGAAAGAGGGAGAGAGGGGAGGCTAGGAAGGAGGGAAGGACAGAGAGAGAGAGGGAAGGGTAGGAGGGAGGGACGGTAATGGACGGGACAGGAGGTTCACTTCCTCCTTAGTTGATAAACACTGCAGGAACACCGCCTCCGTCCCTCCATCCTGTCCCCTTCCGTTCCACCTCTTCCTTGTCCCCTTCCGTCCCACCCTTCCCTGTCCTCTTCCGTTCCACCTCTTCCTTGTCCCCTTCCGTGTCCCCTTCCGTCCCACCTCTTCCTGTCCCCTTCCGTCCCACCCTTCCCTGTCCCCTTCTGTCCTACCCCTTCCGTCCCACCTCTTCCTGTCCCCTCCCCTCTCACCCCTTCCCTTTCACCCTTTCTCCCACTCTTTCCGTCCCACATCTTCCCTGAATAGTGCTAGGAGTGACTGACTGGTGCTAGGAGTGACTGACTGGTGCTAGGAGTGACTGACTGGTGCTAGGAGTGACTGACTGGTGCTAGGAGTGACTGACTGATGCTAGGAGTGTCTGACTGGTGCTAGGAGTGTCTGACTGTAGCTATGAGTGACTGACTGATGCTAGGAGTGTCTGACTGGTGCTAGGAGTGTCTGACTGTTGCTATGTGAGTGACTGACTGATGCTAGGAGTGTCTGACTGGTGCCAGGAGTGTCTGACTGGTGCCAGGAGTGACTGACTGAGCCAGTGACTGGTGCCAGGAGTGTCTGACTGGTGCCAGAGTGTCTGACTGGTGCTAGGAGTGTCTGACTGGTGCTGGAGTGTCTGACTGGTGCTAGGGTGTGGAAGATCTCACGGTGTGTGATAATGACATGGTTCTACACTTCTTCCCTCCCTGCCTGAGAGAGAGAGAGAGAGAGAGAGAGAGAGAGTTTTGTATCTCTGACTGACTGACTCTCGTGTTTATTATAAAGATTGAGTCAGTATGAGCACATTCTTGAAGCTGGTTAGGGGCAATGACCTTCTGGAGTGATGGTTACCTCACACTACCTCATCATCTCACTCTCCTCCTCTCTCCTCCTCTCGCCCTCCTCCTCCCTCCTCCCTCCCCTCCGTGCAGTGGGGCGGGACGGGCTGGGCTGCCGTAGGGGCCGTCACTGTACTACCTGCTGCTTCACCACATAACCATCCCACGTCCACCTCCTCCTGCCTCACCTGCCTCTTGGTATTTGTATATTATAACGTATTAGGAAGAGTATACTGGTATATCTACAGTATATGTATATTTTAACGTATAGCTGGAAGGTTTTGGAATGTATAGTCCTGATATACATAGAGAAAATCTGAAGTTATACTGAGAAAAACAAATGAAGAATGACTAAGATTGGCAGAAGGGATGAGAGAAATGAGGGAATATTAAAGAATGAGGGACATAAGATACCTTGGTTATATATTTAAGGGGGGAAGGGATAATGGTAGAGATGTTAATGGGTGAAACTGAGGATAGGGGGGTGGTAAACACAGCCTCGGAAGCATCTTGGAGTGGGGAGGGGTTAAACACAGCCTCGGAAGCGTCTTGGAGTGGGGGGTAAACACAGCCTCGGAAGCGTCTAGGAGTGGGGGGCCGTAGTCACCAACCCTCAGATAAGTTGATGGCAAGTGATGCTGCGGCGGCACCTTGAACCATACCTAGGGGTAGTGCTAGGTAGAGTGCCAAGTAGTGCCAGTGGTGATGATGTCAGGTCTGTGGTGGTGGTGGTGTCAGGACTAATGGTGGTGAGGTCAGGATTGTGGTGATGTCAGGTCTGTGGTGGTGATGATGTCAGGACTGTGGTGATGTCAGGACTCTAGTAGTGATGTTGTCAGGACTGTGGTGGTGGTGTTGTCAGGACTGTAGTGGTGATGTTGTCAGGTCTGTGGTGGTGGTGTTGTCAGGACTGCAGTGGTGGTGATGTCAGGACTGAGGTGGTGATGTCAGACCTGTGGTGGCGATGATGATGTCAGGACTGGTAGGGTCATCACCGCCACATTCATTACCTCATTTACCGGGTTTAGTCGTGACACACACACACACACACACACGAGAGAGAGAGAGAGAGGGGGAGAGAGAGAGAGCTGATCAACCAAATAATCATATCTCTTGTCTCTGAGGTTCTCCAGTATTCTCTATCTGGATCACTTTCTCTCTCTATCTCTCTATCTTGCTCTCCTTATCTCTTCTTATCTCGCCTCCACCCATTCACTTGTCTCTCTCTCTCTCTCTCTCTCTCTCTCTCTCTCTCTCTCTCTCTCTCTCTCTCTCTCTCTCTCTCTCTCTCTCTCTCTCTCTCTCTCTTAGTACACGTGAGATAGTATTGCTTTTGTTACCCCGGGTGTTACAAGGGTGTCGAAGCGGTCAGCACCAGGGAGTAACGCTGGGTAACACGTGACGGTGTAGAGTTTACCCGTCACAAAAACCAGGACGGGTTGTACAGTAATAGGGGCGTGTGACAGGAAGTACAGGGTGGGGTACCGTCACTCTGATACCTGTCTGTCTGTCTACCTTTGTGTTTACTTGATATAACTGTTTACCTGTCTATACCTGTCTATCTCTGTCATTTTGCTTTTCTTTTTACCTCTGTATTCTTGTCTGTTTGCCCCCACCTCTCTGTTCAGCTGTCTTTCTGTTAACTTGTCTGCCGTTGTTTTACACATGAGTTTACCCCGATTGGTGGATATCCCAAACCATCCCACCCTTCGCCCGCCCGCCCACCCACCCACATCATCCACCCACTCCGCCCTTCCTACCCCCATGAAGAGTGTGGTCAAGACACCGTTATTGTGGAGTCGGAGAGAGCCTGCCTACGATGAAGATATATTTGTCATACCTATGTCAATAATCTCTCTCTCTCTCTCTCTCTCTCTCTCTCTCTCTCAACCCAATTACGTTGTTTACATGTTTACCTCCATCATGACTCAGGCGTAAACAGTGCCGCTTGTTTGCCCTGTAACTGTTTACCTGTAATGACCTGTAACCTGTATTAACCTGGTTCCTCTTCCTCCCCAGGTATGTTGTGGTGGTGACCTGTGACCTTGTTGACCAAGTACACGCCCCCTGATACCAGGTACAGTGACCAGAATGTAATTACAGTAACTCCGGGTATATTGTACAGGTGTATTGACCTCCGGATACAGGTACAGTGACTCCGGAAGCAGGCAGATAGATAGATGGTCGTTAAATGACAACAATGGACATACACACACATACACACACACACACACACACATACACACACACACACACACACATACATACATACACATACACATCCATTTAGGCGTGTGTTTTAAGTGATATTCACGTGAACAAATTACTATTAGTTGACGACAGTTCCCCGCCCAAGTGATCAGCTGGAGGCTTAACAGACTTTTCGCGGGAAATATTGTTGACAGACCGCGCAAAATATAGTGGTGGGAAATTTTAGCTTTTTTTTATTTACTATTATTTTTTTTATGAATGTGTCTTATGTCTTGGGAGGTTTTATATGTTAGGAAGTGTGTGTTTTTTTTTTTGTATTTTCGCGGGAAATTTTGTACACAGGTCAGACGATGGTGGTTTTGTTCTCATAAATACAGTTATAGGAACGTGAGTCTGTGTCGGTGTGTTTTGGACGCTTTTCCCGCCAGAATTATCAGTTGTTGTTTTTTCAGTTTATGATAGTTTTTCCCGCCAGATTTATCAGCTGTTTTGAGGTTAGTTTATGACATTTTCCCGCCAGAATTATTAGCTGTTTCCAGGTTAGTTTATGACATTTTCCCGCCAGAATTATTAGCTGTTTCCAGGTTAGTTTATGACATTTTCCCGCCAGAATTATTAGCTGTTTCCAGGTTAGTTTATGACATTTTCCCGCCAGAACTGTCACCTGTTTGGGGACTTGTTTTTGACAGTTTCCCGCCAGAATCATCACCCATTTTGAACACCATTTTTAGTAGGAAACAGTAGACAAGATCGCCTAATGCACCAAAGGTAGAAATACTTCCTAACTTACGTGTTGTAGAGTAGTTTATTTGCGCGCCAAGTTGGGTTCGTTCAGCAAGACAAGTTTCCCCCTTCCCCCCCGGCCAGAAGTTTGTTGATCCTCTAAGCTGATCATTCTGGCGGGAAACTAACGTAAGCAGATCCTAACTTACAAACAAATGAACGGTTGTATAATGCACCCAGTGAGTACAGTATAAGAGGTGTTTGATCCCTGCCCTCTCACTACCTATACTTTTCCCGCGCAAAGTTTGGGAGCCAGATGATCATTTTTTTGGCGGGAAATTGACTGGTTGTGGGGATGTAACTTGAGACACGTATCGGTACCGTACTGTTTGTTTGGGTCGAGTTTGTTGATAACTCTGTGTGTGTGTGTGTGTGTGTGTGTGTGTGTGTGTGTGTGTGTGTGTGTGTGTGTGTGTGTGTGTGTGTGTGTGTGTGTGTGTGTGTATGTGTGTGTATATGTACGTGTGTGTGTGTGTGTGTGTGTGTGTGTGTGTGTGTGTGTGTGTGTGTGTGTGTGTGTGTGTGTGTGTGTGCGTGTGTGTGTGCGTGCGTGTGTGTGTGCGTGCGTGCGTGTGTGTGTGTGTGTGTGTGTGTGTGTGTGTGTGTGTGTGTGTGTGTGTGTGTGTGTGTTAATTAGAGCCGCCGCCTCAGTGCAGGGGACTTTAACCAACTTCTCTCCCAAACATTATCAAGGTCAAATTCTGTGAGAGAGAGAGAGAGAATATACGAACACAACTTCAGCGTCTTAATTAACTGTGGCGACCTGTGGGCCTCACCTGGTGGTAGTAGTGGCAGTGGTAGTAGTGGTGATAGTGTTAATGGTAGTGGAAGTAGTGGTGGTGGTGGTGTTGACCCCGAGGCTAATAATTTGAGAGAGTGAGCTGACCAACAGGATACTCTAGTCTTACCAGTATTATAACCCAGGAAGGTCACCGCCTAAGACAGGATGCTTCATGTTACTGAACCCTGCTGGTGCTAATCCTGTGTTGAGAGAGGCGGTGCTACATTCCATCCTTCCTATAGGCTTGGATGTATTTCTTTACACAGGATGAACGAGGGTCTATTTGTCTCTGGTTCTGTCTGTCCTGGAGGAAATATCGCGAAACTGGTAGTACTCCAGCGCCAACTAGCGGACAAAATCTCAACCTCACTTGTAAACAAAGACATTCATTTATTTTTTATTTTTACGGAAGTTAAGTTAGATTTAGTTAATTAATAGATAAGTACTTGATAATAATAATAATTCTCCCTGCCTATCTCTCTCTGTCTTATTTCTGTCTCTCTCTAACACTTACTCACCTCCCACACAGCGCCCGTTGCCTAGGTGATGTACCTATTACTCGACTGACAAGGGGAGGAAGGAGACAGGTGGACAGGCAGGAGGGGAGGAAGGAGACCGGTGGACAGGGAGGAGGGGGGGAGGAGACAAGTGGACAGGGAGGATGGGAGGGAGTAAACAAAGGGGTAAGGTTGGGAGGGAGGGACGGAAGGTGAGTGGGGAAGGAGGGAGGAAGTGGGGAGAGAGGGAGGGGAGGGAGGAGGAAGGAAAGAAAGGAGGTATGGAGGGAGGAAGGAAAGAAGGAGGTTGGGAAAGGGAGGAGGAATCAGGTCAAGTACACTCCTTTTGGCATTAGAGGCGAGGGAGGGGCTGTTAATCAGGGGAGGAAAGGTGAATAGGAGGATGGGGAGGAGGGGATGAATTAAGGAAGGGAGGAAAGGAAGGAAGTGACTGTGAAGAGGAGGATGGGGAGGATGGGGGAGGGAGGGAGAGGATGGGGGGGACGGGGAGAGAGGAGGATAGAGGAGGGAGGAGGATGGAGGAGAGACATAGACTCAATATATTTTACTGAGCTATCTCGATCATTGAAATATACCGTGTCTGTCTGTCTGTCTGTCTTTCCAATTGTGTAGCCAGTATCTGTTTTGTCTGTCTCCTATCTTCGCCTCTCTCTCTGTCTGCCTGTTTGTCTCAGTCGTGTATTTACGTTTAATTGGTCTTTCTTTGTATGTCTTCGTCTGTCTATTTGTTTGTGTGTCAGTCGACCCATCCAACAACTGTCTATCTGTCTCTTCCCCTCCCCCTCTCCTCTCTCCTCTCCTCCTCCTCTCCTCCCCCCTCCTCCCCTCCCCCTCTCTTCCCTTCCCTCTCTCCTCCTCCTCTCCCTCCCCCCCTCCTCCCCTCTCCTCCTCTCCCCCTCTCCTCCCCTCCTCCCTAACATACTAACAAACACAATAATAATTCACTCTACGATGGTGGAAACCTTGGCTTTAATACAAGTGCCAGATTTGGGTCACTGTCCCCCCCCCTTTCCCTGATTCTGCGCCTCCTCTCACCCTCCCTCTCTCCTACCTCCTCCTCTCCCTCTTTCCCACCCTCTCACCCTCTCTACCTCCTTCTCTCATCCTCTATCCCTCTCTCTCACCTCTCCCCTCTCCTCCCCCATCATCCTTCCCCTCCTCCATCTCACCCCTCCCTCTCATCTTCCCAACCTCCCATCTATCTCACCCTCTCCTTCCCTCCCCCTTCCCCCCTCCCCCTACATACATATTAAGACAAATGAATTTTCACTTTAACTTCAGCGTGTTTCTTGACCTTGTGACGTAATGCAGGTAAAGTCAAGGTGCCATCACGATATAGTAGTAGAATTATTAACGTTCATGTGTACCAGCTGTGTGCATGTTATGGTGTAATGTGGCAGGGTGAGTGAGTGTGTGTGGCAGGGAGAGCGAGAGTGTGTGGCAGGGTGAGCGAGTGTGTGTGGCAGGGTGAGCGAGTGTGTGTGTGTGGCAGGGAGAGTGAGTGTGTGTGGCAGGGAGAGTGAGAGTGTGCGGCAGGGTGAGTGTGTGGCCGGGCATATGCCAGCAGGCCCTCGGGGACACCTTCCCATGATAATGATTCAGTTCTTCATGCCTTCTTCCTTTTAGCTTTGTGTGTGTGTGTGTGTGTGTTTTATAAAATAATAATAATAATAATAATAATAATAATAACAACAATGATAATAATAATAACAACAATAACAACAACAACAACAACAACAATAATAATAATAATAATAATAATTAATCGTTTATTGAAAGATCGGGAAAGGTCTGAAAATATAGTCAGCAGAGATGGGAATGGATCGCTTGATATATATAAATAACATAAGGGTACAAATATGATATATAATATTAAGAGAAGGTCATTCAACGGGATTTTCAGAATAATAGTAGTACAGAAGTAAGATTGGCTGGGAGTCAACACACTGATTAACTACTAGTTGTTCATAATTTTTACAATGGTTGGGATTGGGCTGTCAGTACGTGTTCATATAGGCTGGATGCAGTTGTAATGTTTGTGCGCGCGCGCGTGTGTGTGTGTGTGTGTGTGTGTGTGTTTTTGTACAGGTGTGGTCAGATAGTACAGCATCATACCCCGGGTATCAGGTGAGTAGGTCAAGGTGTGAGGCACTGGCAGGTGTGCGACATTGGCTGGGTGGCACTGTCTCAGGTGCCAATGACACTCTTGTTGCCCGGTGACTTTTTTATTACCAGGTGACACCGTTAAACCCTTGGGTACAGGGACCCCCTCCCCTGCTGAATGACGTTGCCTGGCGTTAGTCAAAGAAACTATTAAAAGTGGCGTCCCTTCGTGTGTGTGTGTGTGTGTGTGTGTGTGTGTGTGTGTGTGTGTGTGTGTGTGTGTGTGTGTGTGTGTGTGTGTGTGTTGTGTTGTGTTGTGTTGTGTGTGTGTGTGTGTGTGTGTGTGTGTGTGTGTGTGTGTGTGTGTGTGTGTGTGTGTGTGTGTGTGTGTGTGTGTGTGTGTGTGTGTGTGTGTGTGTGTGTGTGTGTGTGTGTGTGTGTGTGTGTGTGTGTGTGTGTGTGTGTGTGTGTGTGTGTGTGTGTGTGTGTGTGTGTGTGTGTGTGTGTGTGTGTGTGTGTGTGTGTGTGTGTGTGTGTGTGTGTGGTAGTAGTAGTAGTAGTAGTAAATGGTTAATGAATTTCTTGAAGCTGTCATGAATATTATTAAACGAAAGAGAGAATTTTTGTTGTCAGTCGTGAGCTGGTTGGTGGGTGGTAGAGGCTGGTGGTGGTAGAGGCTGGTGGTGGTAGAGGCTGGTGGTGCTTCTGGATGGTGGTGGGGCTGGATGGTGGTAGTAGTGGTCGGGGGTGGTGGACAGTGGGTGGCATAAGTGACCTTGACTGAGTACTGGGATAACCTACTACAACTACGACCACTACCACCACCGCTACGTACTACCACCACAACCGCTACCACCACCGCTACAGTACTACCACCACCGCTCCACCACAACTACGACCACTACCACCACAACTACTACCACTATCCACCACAACTACGACCACCACCACTACCACCACCTCTCTCTCTCTCTCTCTCTCTCTCTCTCTCTCTCTCTCTGTCTTCCTGTACATTTCATACCCAAGTATGTACACAGGGTCGTGTGTGTGTGTGTGTTGGCTTAGATGCTGCTAGACATGTCCAGAGTATTTTGTCGGCGATTGTACAGTACATCAGTCGTGTTCAAACTGGAACACGCACAAACCCGCACACACACACACACACACACACACACACACACACACACACACACACACACACATACATACACGCGCGCGGTAGATGTCAATAATGTAAGAGAGAGAGAGAGAGAGAGAGAGCCATCCCAGCACCTGTTCGTTTACCTCACCAGTACACAAGTCCTCAGTCCTGCTCGCCTCCTCCTGCGTGGCGCTCTGGGTGTGGTGGGTGTTAGGTGGCCAAGTGATCCAACTGCCTACACACACACACACACACATGGCCTTAGACATCTTATATAAACGATAGGTCGATACTTTCCTAACATCCTAGCGGTCTTTGTTACCTCCTACCCTCCTACCCCCCCAATGTCTGGTACTCCTCTTGTACTCTGCCCCTCCCCCAACTTTGGCATTCTTCTCCCCCACACTGTCTGGCACCCCTCATGTACCCACCACTCCCCTCACTGTCTGGCACCCTTCATGTACCCCCTCCTCCCCTCACTGTCTGGTACCCCTCATATACCCACCTGTCCCCCCCCCCACTGTCTCGCTCCCTCTTGTACCCACCTCTCCCCCCACTGTCTGGCACCCCCCCACCTCTCCCCCCCCCACTGTCTGTACCACTGTCTGCACCCTCCCTCCTCCCTCACTGTCTGCACCCCTCATGTACCCACCTCTCCCCCACTGTCTGGTACCCTCTCCCCACTGTGCACCCTCTTGTACCCACTCTCCCCCCCCTCACTGTCTGGCACCCTTCTTGTACCCACCTCTCCCCCCTCACTGTCTGGCACCCCTCTTGTACCCCTCTCCCCCCACTGTCTGGCACCCTTCTTGTACCCACCTCTCCCCCCACCCTCACTGTCTGGCACCCTTCTTGTGCCCACCTCCCTCCCCCCTCACTGTCTGGCACCCTTCACCTCCCCCACCCTCACTGTCTGGCACCCCTCTCCCACCTCTCCCCCCCCTCACTGTCTGGCACCCCTCTTGTACCCACCTCTCCCCACTGTCGGGCACCCCTCTTGTACCCACCTCTCCCCGCCCCACTGTCTGGCACCCCTCGTGTACCCTGCCCGTCCCCTCTCCTCTTCCCACTGTCTGGCACCCCCCTTCGTACTCACCCCCCTACCTCCATGACCTTGTGTAACCCAGGACTAACGATGGTGTCTGGAGGTTTGACCTGTCTTGACCTTGGAGTTGACCTCATGTGACCTCATGTGGTTATTGTCCCTGTGTGACCTCGCCCTGGATCCATGTGTCCTCAGCACCTGACTCAGCCCATTAATTTTATGTGGCCTTGACCTTTGTGTCTTTGCCAGTGACCTTTGACCCCCAATTGAGTGTTTGTCGTGTGGCTGTGTAAAGGAGTGATTGTGTGAGTTTGTTTATGTGAGGATGTCAGGGTTGTTTTGTTTTGTCAAGGTTGTGTGTTTGTTTTTGTCAAGGTTGTGTGTTTGTGTTTTTTTCAGCCTTGTGTATTTGTTTTTGTTTGTGTCAAGGTTGTGTGTTTTGATGTCTCCCTGTCACAAATTCCTCATCGACTTGTGATTTTATTTGTTTCATTGTTGTCTCTTCGTGTCATCATCTACCTGGTGACTTTCTTTGTTCTGTTCATCATCTACCTGACGACTTTCTTTGTTGTGTTCATCATCTACCTGGTGACTTTCTTTGTTGTGTTCATCATCTACCTGGTGACTTTCTTTGTTGTGTTCATCATCTACCTGGTGACTTTCTTTGTTCTGTTCATCATCTACCTGGTGACTTTCTTTGTTGTGTTCATCATCTACCTGGTGACTTTCTTTGTTGTGTTCATCATCTACCTGGTGACTTTCTTTGTTGTGTTCATCATCTACCTGGTGACTTTCTTTGTTGTGTTCATCATCTACCTGTTGTGTTCATCATCTGACTTTCTTTGTTGTGTTCATCATCTACCTGACGACTTTCTTTGTTGTGTTCATCATCTACCTGGTGACTTTCTTTGTTGTGTTCATCATCTACCTGGTGACTTTCTTTGTTGTGTTCATCATCTACCTGGTGACTTTCTTTGTGTGTTCATCATCTACCTGGTGACTTTCTTTGTTGTGTTCATCATCTACCTTGTTGTGTTCATCATCTTTGACTTTCTTTGTTGTGTTCATCATCTCTTTGGTGACTTTCTTTGTTGTGTTCACCTGGTGACTTTCTTTGTTGTGTTCATCATCTACCTGGTGACTTTCTTTGTTGTGTTCATCATCTACCTACCTGGTTCATCATCTACCTGACTTTCTTTGTTGTGTTCATCATCTACCTGGTGACTTTCTTTGTTGTGTTCATCATCTACCTGGTGACTTTCTTTGTTGTGTTCATCATCTACCTGGTGACTTTCTTTGTTGTGTTCATCATCTACCTGGTGACTTTCTTTGTTGTGTTCATCATCTACCTGGTGACTTTCTTTGTTGTGTTCATCATCTACCTGGTGACTTTCTTTGTTCTGTTCATCATCTGCCTGGTGACTTTCTTTGTTGTGTTCATCATCTACCTGGTGACTTTCTTTGTTGTGTTCATCATCTACCTGGTGACTTTCTTTGTTGTGTTCATCAACTTAGTTAGGTCAGGTTACATTTAGTCATATTAGGTCAGGTCAGGTCAGGTCAGTAGAGTTAGAACCTAGATCACTGTGACTCTGTTTCCTTGTAATTTGGTTCATTTTACATGTTGTTGTGACTTGAGTTGTAACAATGTTTTTCTTTTTGTGCTGCAGGTACGTATTGCGGTGTTGTGGTAGACTACACCCAAGATGCGTATGGTTGACTAGACAAGGGAAGGTTAGTTGGTATTTTGGTTCATGATGGAAGCCTTGGTTGTGGTGGAGGTTGTTGGAGATGCTGGAGAATATTTTTGGAGGAGGTATATTCCATTGTTGGAGGGAGGCATTGGTACCTGCTTGTGGTAGCCAGGGATAGAAGTTTCTCAAGGAGATAGTGGTGATGGTGGTTGTTGTGGTTGTAGATGGCACACAGATGGTTACAGATGGCTCACGAGTGGTTAAAGATGGCAAACAGATGGTTACAGATGGCTCACGAGTGGTTAAAGATGGCATACAGATGGTTACAGATGGCTTACAGATGGTTCGACTTGTGAAAGAGACCTAGGGGTACTTGTAAGCCCGGACCTACGGCCTAGAAAACAGTGCGTTAATGTTCGAAATAAGGCAAACAGAGTATTGGGTTTTATATCTAGAAGTGTAAGTAATAAGAGTGCAGAGGTCTTATTGCAACTATATCTTGCGCTAGTCAGGTCGCCCCTCCATTATGCGGTTCATTTCTGGTGCCCTTATTATAGAATGGATATCAATTCACTCGAGTCGGTGCAGCGAAGAATGACGAAAATGATTCCGGGACTTAGAAACCTTCCATATCAGGATAGGTTAAAGAAATTTAACTTGCATTCCCTAGAAAGACGAAGAGTGCGGGGAGATATGATAGAAGTATTTAAGTGGGTGAAAGGAATCAATAAAGGGGATCAAGATAAAGTTCTTATAATATCCGAGCAGGATAGGACTCGGAGCAACGGATTTAAGTTGGATAAGTTTAGGTTTAGGAGGGAGATAGGAAGAAACTGGTTCACAAATAGGGTGGTGGACGAGTGGAACAAGCTTACCAACTTTGTAGTAAGTGCTGGAACTCTGGAAAGTTTCAAAAGGAGGCTAGATAGATTCATGGATGATAGAGAGAGGTTGTAACTCTCGACAGGAGCTGCCATGCACAGGCCAACCGGCCAATTGCAGACTCCTTATTTTCTTATGTTCTTATGTTACAGATAAGAACATAAGAATGGAGGAAACTGCAGCGGGCCTATTTGCCCATACTGGGCAGTCCCATTTACACCCAACCCCTATCGCTCATATATCCATCCAACCTATGTTTGTAGCTATCCAGCGTATTCGAGTTAATGATGTTGTTTGGTAACTTGTTCCATTCATCCACTACTCTATTTCCAAACCAATGTTTACCTATTTCGCGCCTAAATCTAAATTTGTCTAATTTAAAACCATTGTTACGAGTTCGCTCCTGGTTGGATAGTTTGAGTACCTTTGTAATGTCCCATTTGTTTAGCTCTGACTTCCATTTATACACCTCTATCATGTCGCCCCTCGCAGCTCTACGTCTCTCGAGGGAGTGCAAATTAAGATGCTTTAGCCCGTCTCTGTACCCAAGGTTCCTAATGCCCGGGATTAGTCTTGTCATTCTCCTCTGAATTCTGTCCAAGGATTCTATATCCATTCTGTAATACGGTGACCAGAATTGAACTGCGTAATCCAAGTGAGGTCTCACAAGCACAAGATATAGTTTTAGGATGACCTCGCTAGTCTTGTAACTAACAATCCTTTGTATGAACCCAAGTACTTTATTAGCCTTGTTTCGAGCAAATACACATTGCTTACTTGGCTTAAGATTCCTACTTATCATTACTCCTAAATCTTTCTCGCAGTTGGATTTCTCAATAGCATCGTTTTTCATCTGGTATCTGGTTTCCCTGTTTACATCTCCTAAACTAATTACTTTACATTTGTTCACATTGAATTTCATCTGCCATTTTTCGGACCATTCGAATTTTTTTTTAGATCTTCCTGTAGTTTTGCGGAGTCCTCGTCATATTTAATTACACGCCCTATTTTAGTGTCATCAGCAAATTTACTTATGTTGCTGTCTACGCCGATATCCATGTCGTTTATGTATATTGTAAATAATAATGGTCCAAGTACTGAGCCTTGGGGAACTCCACTAGTGACGTTGCTCCAATCGGATTTAGTGCCGTTAATGCTCACTCGCTGTTTCCTGTCCTGTAACCACGCCCTAATCCATTTTAGAATATCTCCTTTAATGCCATGAGCCTCCACTTTTCTTATTAGTCTTTCGTGGGGGACTCTTTCGAAGGCTTTGCTAAAGTCGAGATATACCACATCATAATTGTGTCCCTCGTCCACTGATTCGAAAACAGATGAAAGGAATGTTAATAGATTAGTTAGACATGAACGCCCGCTTGTGAAGCCATGTTGGGAATCATTGATCAGCTTGTGCTTCTCCAGGTGATTTCGAATAGAGTTTGAAATGATTGCTTCCAGTAATTTGCCTACAATTGATATTAGACTGATTGGACGGTAGTTAGAGGATAGTGATCTATCTCCCTTCTTGAAAATCGGTATTACATTCGCTATCCTCCAGGATTTTGGTACTACACCCGTTTTTAAGGACATGTTAAACAGATGACACACTGATGGCACACAGATGGTTACAGATGGCACACAAATGGTTACAGATGGCACACAGATGGTTACAAGCGGTGCTCGACCAGCCTCCACTCTTATGACATGTGTGAATTTATAAACAAACTCTGGCGTATAAATAATCCTGCGTGTGTGGGAGGATGAAGTGGCGGGTTTTGTTATTGGGTTTTTTGGTTATGGTTTCATCGGTTTTGGTTATGATTCCAGTGGGGGTTTTTTTGGTTGTGATTTCATTGGTTTTCGTTGTGGTTTCTGCTGTTTTTTGGTTGTGGTTTCATCGGTTTTGGTTGTGGTTTCAGCGGTGTTTTGGTTGTAGTTTCATCGGTTTTGATTGTAGTTTCATCGGTTTTGGTTGTGGTTTCAGCGGTGTTTTGGTTGTGGTTTCAGCGGTGTTTTGGTTGTGATTTCATCGGTTTTGGTTGTAGTTTCATCGGTTTTTTGGTTGTGATTTCAGCGGTTTTGGTTGTGGTTTCAGCGATTTTTATTGGTTCGTGTGTGTGTGTGTGTGTGTGTGTGTGTGTGTGTGTGTCTGTGTGTGTGTCTCTGTCTCTGTCTCTGTCTGTCTGTCTGTCTCTCTGAGTTATAGTGTGTTAAAGTGTAAGCATCAGTTGAGTGCGTTATAGTGCAAGCATCAGTTGAGTGCGTTAGAGTGCAGGCATCAGGAGTGTATAATAGATAGAGTGTGAAGGCTGACCTCTGGTACAAGAGTGGCAGGCGCTGCTGACGTCACGTGTCATAGGTCAGGGGTCACGTGCATGAGGTCAACTGAAGGAATGGTCATGCCACCTCTCCCTCCGGGGCAACCTAAAAAAATCTCTCTCTCTCTCTCTCCTGTGTGGCCATCATAACAAACTCCTGTGTGGCCATCATAACAAACGTTTTGTTTTGTTCCTGTGTGGCCATCATAACAAACGTTTTATTTTGTTCCTGTGTGGCCATCATAACAAACGTTTTATTTTGTTCCTGTGTGGCCATCATAACAAACGTTTTATTTTGTTCCTGTGTGGCCATCATAACAAACGTTTTATTTTGTTCCTGTGTGGCCATCATAACAAACGTTTTATTATGACCATTACGTCACCACACCCTCCCTCTGCCTACCACGTCACAGTTTACCCCCCCCTCTCCGCCTCCCTTACCTCCCCCTCTCCCTGAAGGTCCCGAAGATCACGTGTATAAAGTTCAGACTTACAGTTTAAAGGAAGTGTGTGTGTGTGTGTGTGTGTGTGTGTGTGTGTGTGTGTGTGTGTGTGTGTGTGTGTGTGTGTGTGTGTGTGTGTGTGTGTGCCGTGACGTCATCATATCAAAGGTCAAGTTTTTAAAGACAGGTGTAAACAGATGTGACAACCTTTGTTTACTGTCTATAGTATCAAGGGACAGAATGACAGGTGTAAACAGATGTGGTTAGAGTTGTTTGCTTTTTACTTGATCTTGTTTGTAATGAGGAAATATAGTGTGTTTTAATGGAGAAATATACGGTGTTTTAATGAGGAAATATATGGTGTTTTAATGAGGAAATATACGGTGTTTTAATGGAGAAATATACGGTGTTTTAATGGAGAAATATACGGTGTTTTAATGAGGAAATATATGGTGTTTTAATGAGGAAATATACGGTGTTTTAATGGAGAAATATACGGTGTTTTAATGGAGAAATATACGGTGTTTTAATGAGGAAATATATGGTGTTTTAATGAGGAAATATATGGTGTTTTAATGAGGAAATATACGGTGTTTTAATGGAGAAATATACGGTGTTTTAATGGAGAAATATACGGTGTTTTAATGAGGAAATATACGGTGTTTTAATGGAGAAATATGCGGTGTTTTAATGGAGAAATATACGGTGTTTTAATGAGGAAATATATGGTGTTTTAATGAGGAAATATACGGTGTTTTAATGGAGAAATATACGGTGTTTTAATGGAGAAATATACGGTGTTTTAATGAGGAAATATATGGTGTTTTAATGAGGAAATATACGGTGTTTTAATGGAGAAATATGCGGTGTTTTAATGGAGAAATATACGGTGTTTTAATGAGGAAATATATGGTGTTTTAATGAGGAAATATATGTTTTAATGGAGAAATATACGGTGTTTTAATGGAGAAATATACGGTGTTTTAATGAGGAAATATATGGTGTTTTAATGAGGAAATATATGGTGTTTTAATGAGGAAATATACGGTGTTTTAATGGAGAAATATACGGTGTTTTTATAGGGAAATATACGGTGTTTTAATGGGGAAATATACGGTGTTTTAATGGGGAAATATACGGTGTTTTAATGGGGAAATATACGGTGTTTTAATGAGGAAATATATGGTGTTTTATTGGGGAAATATATGGTGTTTTAATGGGGAAATATATGGTGTTTTAATGAGGAAATATACGGTGTTTTAATGGGAAAATATACGGTGTTTTAATGAGGAAATATACGGCGTTTTAATGAGGAAATGTTTTTATAGGGAAATATACGGTGTTTTAATGGGGAAATATGCGGTGTTTTATTGGGGAAATATATGGTGTTTTAATGGGAAAATATGCGGTGTTTTAATGCTTGATAAAATTATGAAGCAATTTGTTGATTTTTATGGCAAAGTTTGTCTCACTCTAAAGGTACATTTACTATAAACTACTTTTTGTACTTTTATAGGGATGGTGGTAGGGGGTTGTGGTGGTAGTGTTGGTGGTGGTAGTGTTGGTGGTGGTAGTGGTGTCGGTGGTTGTTGTGGTGGCGGTGGTTGTGGTGGTGGCGGTTGTTGTGGTGGTGGCGGTTGTTGTGGTGGTGGCGGTGGTTGTTGTGGTGGTGGCGGTTGTTGTTGTGGTGGTGTCGGTGG